AGCCACATTAGTTTCTTTGGGCAAGTAAACACGTAATCAGACTTGAATTAAGCAGAAATGTGCATACATGCTCCTTCAGTCGGACACAAGAGAGGATCTAACAAAGAATACAAATGACCCAGAAATATTTTGTAGTACGATAGATGGTTATTTGGATCTAGGTCACTAAATAATCCGGAAACCAGACAGAGAGACAGAAAGTAAAATGAAAAGAGAAGTAAAGGACAGCAGAGGATTCAGACACGTGAACTACAAGGTAAACATGTCAAAAAAGCTGATTATACAATATGAGCACCAAAGCTACAGAGCAAATCAGCAAAAATAATCAAAACTCAAACTAAAATCTTACATATCAGATCATAGCAGCCTCAGTGGTTTATATTTAAGTACGACCACAGTTAAAAGTCACAGAAATACAATTCTTCTTTCAGCAATCAGTGATTTTTAGGCCATCACTTTTTCATCTATTGATGTTTATGCTGCATTTTTATGATTTTCTATTCAAAAATATTGTCATAGAAAAAGTGAGAAACTCTTAAGCAGATTTGTGAAAACCTTTTAGTTGAGCACTGAAACGGTTTTTCCTGACATTTCAAGATTGTTTTTTTTTTTTTGGTCAGGGGATTACTGTAGGACATTTATGTTCCACAGAGGCATTAAACTCACCAAACTCATCAGTTGTGTAAGCTGTTTTTTTTTTAACAGCTGCAGGTCACAATGTACTCAAAGTTCCCCAATTTGTATCCAGTATTCACTTCAATGTATGTGCCGAGAAGACCTGCTGAGTTTCTCGCCTTGCAGCTATTAAGGGGATTATTATAACCTCCATCTCTCATGATAAACTTTATTTAATATTAAAACTGGCCACATTTTATGCCTACATCAGAAAATTTTACAAATAATTTTACATAACTAAACTAAACCCAATTCACACCTTAGCCCTAAACCTCACCATTCGTAAAAAAAAAACAAAGTCCTCGCCTTAAATCAATCAGTCCTCAATTTGTGTGGCAAAGTGGTCAAAAGAAAGCTATAATAAGTCCTAATTGCATTTATCTCAAGCCGTATTGTACCTATTACCTATGTGGAGCAAGAGGGATATAAGACAGAGATTTAACTTTTATCCCTTCATTTAAACACCAGTGTAGCAGAAAAATAACTTCACTCAATATACATCATTGTAAAACATGGAAGTAGCTGCATCATCCCTATGTTGGGGTTAAAGCGAAAAATAAAAAAAAGACCAGAAAGTTAAAATCTGAGCATTTCAACTTAAGACTTGTACAGAGGTTTACCTTCAATACACAAAGCCTTTAGCCAAACAATCAGGGTTATATTGTTATTGGGTAGAGGAGCCATTTTAAAGTCTCTACCTGAATTCGACCAAGAGCTTGTTGCATCTCACTGATCACAGACTATCTCCACTCAGTCTGGGTGAACTTAAATTATTATAACAAAGCAGATTAAAAAAAAAACTAAAAAAAAAAACGGTTATTTTTGTAGACCTGGAAAATGAAAGATATGTTCAGTGCTGAAGGTGTTTTGCTGCAAGCCTGAATCTTAATGCAGTTTAGCACATGGTCCGATTTGCTTATCACTTTCCTCACTCTATACTTTATTGAGTTTCCTTTGCGCTTCTCATGCTGTATATTATCCTGGAGTTGTACCTACTGTTTCTTCATCAAAGTGTCTGATTTCTTTAGTTGTCTCCAATTTCTATCTCCAGCCATACTGTAGGTTTATTAAAATTTCTGTTTTTAACTCTTCACTATATTTATGACTGTAATGTATATGGATTTGCAGAACAATGTTCAGCTGTTAAAAGATAAAAGGGTCTTTAAATGTACCTGCTCCTGTACTTCAGCAGAGGATACTTCACTGTCACACACAACAATCAGTTCTCATGAAAACAGTGAATATTAAACTTAAACTACATTAACAGCTAAACCAAAGAAACTGCAGCCTATATTCTTCATGGATAGTCATGCTCACTTACTGTCTATTTTAGCTGTAATTATTTATTTATTAAGCATTTTATGTATAGCTGACTGCTACAGTGTCGGTTGATAAATGAATGTGACTGCAGCTGGTCAGACTGGCGCTATTAAAGCTACCAACACACAAATGTTACTTTATGTACCTCTCTAAGAAGGCTAAATTGAACATTGAAGCATATAATGTGTTTTGGCCACATCTTCAGGTGGCGTCAGATCATACAAATGAAGTAAGAGGTTTTTATGAAAAGTCTGATTTACAGAAATCTGCCTGACTTTTTGTGTGGTACACCTAAAACCGTAGACATGTACCAGATTTTTTTATGTCTGCATGAAAGACATTAAGCAACACAAAGAATCTAACAATCAACTGTTAAACAGGTTGATGCTAATCGCCAGTCAACTGGCATAAAGCAGATTCACACATTCTTTTTTTTCACCTCGGATTAGTGTTCTAATGGTGTGATAATGTGGCTTTTCTGAAAAGAAATATGCTTATTGATTTTCAGAGAGAAACTGAAAAAGAAAATACATAAAAAATACTTTGGTTATCATACTGTGAGAATATCATACTGGCCTATGCCTTATATCTCCTTTGTAGAGGATAACAAAAACTATTTTTTTTTTTATCTAAAGTGGGGTCCACAAGTGTCTGAGGTGGACTTATTAGTGGTGAATAAGGCCTCGTTAATAAGGCCTAGGGGACAGGCTTCTACACACTACATGATTTTTAAAACTCAACTGCTGTTCAATCAATATAGACTTTACATACCATGTAGCAGCTTATTTATCAAATGCTCAATGTGGCTTTCTGGTTCTCCCTGAGTCCTTTTTCTGTTTTGTTTTTTTTCACTCTGTATTACTTTCTATTTTCCTTCTTCTCCTCTGTTTCCATTAAACTATAATGGCTGTAAGGAAAATATGATTGGTGCCAAAGCACAACGTTAGTCATGCGAAATATGTACTTCCTTGGCCTAACAGTGTACAATTACTATTAACATTATTGTGTCTCGTTGCAAGCATGGGTATTTCAGCATGGGAAATTTTAGAAATCATTTGAACAGAAAATTTTAGCTAAAAAAAAATCAAGGTTTTAACAAAATCTGGTTTGCTGTGACCTAATTTCCGACAGCTCATTTCACTTTGCAGAAATCAGCAATATCTGCATCCAAGGGGTCATTGTGTTGGGGGAGGAGGACCATGTGCTTGTATCAGTTAAAGTCACAGTTTCATTGTAACCTTTAAAATGCTGTGTAATTTTAGTTTTATAATGACAAGTTATATCTTTTGAAATCAAAAAACAGTATTTCTATGCCTATTATTACATGTGGGTAGACTACCGAAAAATAGTTAAGTAAAAGCTTTACCATTTCTACATATTTCTACTCGAGTAAAAGTACTTAAAAACATCAAAGATACATGAATGTTTTACTGGTTAAAATAATGTAATCAGACAGACCATAATGTTAATTTATTTGGAAATCTCTGTTTTATTTTCTAGACTAAATTAAAGTAGTTAATACCAATAAAAAAAAACTTTTCATTTTTTTAAAACACAAAATATTAAACTATGTATACACTGCAAAAACAATCTTGAAATAAGTCCATTTGAGCAGATTAATGAGTATTTTTACTCTTAAAATAAGATAATGAGACAATATTCACTTGAAATAAGACAATGCAAAGTCAATGACTCAAAATCAGCTGTTTCCTGGGATAGAACACTCTTAACCAATATATTCGTATGATTTAATTGAATTGTCTATGTTGTTGCATTGAAACTGAAATGAATTAGAAAACATAAAAAAACAAAAAAAAGATTGTGTATAAAAGTGTATAAAAACGAAATTCCGTTTTGTATGCAACTGTATACAAAAGGACAATAAAAGTTGTCCAAGTCAGAAGAGAAAACAGACATTAGTGAACCTTTAACTGTCTGTCTGGTGCATTTAAGGTTAAATATGTTCTTTCTTTTGTAGCTTCTCATATTGGGTTAAATGATAAGGACTCTGCTCAAAGGTAGCAATACTTAGGCTAATGATAAACTGAGTACACTTTGTTAAAAAGTAACTAAATGTTACTGAGTGAATGTAACTACTTAAAACCCACCCATCCTTACAAACCTGAAACTGAGGCAAGTGATTCTTTTAGGATTTTTTAATTCCCCACTTAACGGAACCCTGTTAACTCTGGTAACTGTTACCAAAACGATTCTTAAAAAAAGGTTTTGGACTTTATCTCAAAGAAATTATGCATTTGTTGAAAATGCCACTCTCAAATCTGAACCATGACAGTTTACCTTTTTTTTTTTTTTTTTTATTAAATCCTCTCCCCAAGAAACAGAAAAGTGCTGGCCTTAATAGCAATAAATATTCAGGCAATATCATGGGCTTATCAAGGAGCTGCTGCTCACTGAAGATAAGATCATCTTGTCTCCGCAGATAAATTGCGTCTGTGATTACAGCATCTTCTAATCTTCAAACCCTCTCAGCGTTATACCAGATAGCCTGTTGCCAAAATTCAACAGAGATTTAACTGCAAACTTAGTTTAATATACAAGATAATTGAGAAATTTAAAGAAGTTTAAATTGAAATACTGTGATATGCTCAGATATCCATCCTTCAATCTATTTTCCATCACGCTTTATCCCTACTGGGGTCGTGAGGGGTGCCGGTGCCTATCTCCAACTGTCTATGGGCGAGAGACGGGGTACACCCTGGACATGTTGCCAGTCCATCACAGGGCAGGAGGTCAGATATGTGGTTTCATTTCTATTTACGAATGCATTTATTTGACCACTGCAGGATTATGAAAAATGAAACTTAATAAAAATGAGAACACTTCAGCCTCTTATCCATGCATATTAAAGCCCTAGAAAGGGGATGGCACAGCCTGGACTGCCCCCAGGATCACTTCTCAGGCATTTTTTTTACCGTCTGCATCTTTAAATCTGCACCAGCTTGCCTTTATCCAACACTCTGGAGGACTCAGCAGCTACCTTACAGAGTCAGAGACACTCACACAAACGCGCACACACATGTACACTTACACACATACCAGGCTGGAAATTACTGGAGCGAGAGAGAGAGCGAGAGAGAGAGAGGCAGAGAGAGCAGTTGATTGGGAGAGAAAGGGAGGCAGGGATAGTGAGAGATCGAAACAGACGCACGGTGGATTATTTGGGCTGTAGCCACGGTGGATGTTTTGCAGGCAGAGGGAGGACAGAGCAAGCTTGGAGCTGCCACACTGAGAGCTTTATTTCATTTTCTTTGTTTCCAGCGACGGTTCCTTGCAGGATATTGATATGGTGAGTGAGCGTCTTGAGATTTTGTCTGCAGCATCTGTTAGTGTTTTGCATGCACAGCAGCCTTAACTTCTTCTGACAATACATCCCCTGGAAAATAGGCAATTTGCACTTACAGTATTGACTCTGTCCTGGTAGGAGTGATTGAGTGACACCTAACATTTGCTCTGTTGCTGATTAGTTGTTTAATGAGTGTTTCAAGTAGCCGCTGTGGGATTTCATAGGGAATCTCTTATACACTCTGTGTGGTAGTTGTGAGTTTATTCAGATCACAGTTTTAGCCTGATCCACATTTAATTTAATCTGTCATTTAACATGTTCTTCTCCCATTTTATTAAATCATAGCCTTAGATTAAGAATACCATGTCTGTCAATGTTGATGTTCATCGTGATATATCGGTGTATAGAAAAGTATTACCCAAAAAAATGTCATTATATTTCTATCAAACACGGTAAGAGATTAGTATAGCACTTCTTATAGCTTCAAGGCAGCTCTATAGAGATGATTTTAATGTTGATGAGAGATTAAGGATGCTCTAAACAGCTTCCTTTCCTCTGGGATTGCCGATCCCCGCTCAAGACCTGCACAGAGGTATTTTCTCATGACTGGACCCCTGCTCCTGGCACATCCCTTAAACCCTTAAATGGTGCTTTCACAGATTGGGCAGCCAGGGGCTTCGTGCTTCACTGTGCATTGATATGTGGGGGACTCTAATCTATTTAAACATATATTTGTTGTTTAAAGAGGATTTTGATTATAGCTGTTACTGGATTTCCAGAGGACTCTATAATCACTGTTCTTTTCTGCATTATTCAATGATTTCTTTCTGTTCTGCTGCAGTTCCTGTCTCTTTATGCCACTGCTGTAACTCAGTGGCCGTAATGTGTTGTAACATGCTGATAACTGTGGGTTTGACAGCAGTCAGCAGTCTTGTTCAAACGCTGTCTATGTAGCGCCCGTTACAGACCTCTGCTGGTGTATAGATCAATCCCACATGCCCTCTTATAGCAGATAGGTTTGAGTCTAAGAGAATGAGACACATGAATAGGAAAAAAAACATGATAATGAAGCAGGTCTCACATTCCACATGTCTGCTCCAGCAAGGACTTAATTCCACAGTAGATTTGGCTGTAACCTGCTCTGTCGAATGTGTTTGTAAAGTTTAAAAAATGAAGAATGCTTAAGAAATACCCGATTATCTATTTAGGTCTCTAAATGGAGTGTAGCAAAGTTATGGTTTAATGGATAAAATAACTCACAGTATTGGTTTTATAAGAACATGACAAACCTTTAGAAAAGATAGCACCCAATAGTTGAAGGATTTAAAAGACTATTCCTATATATGCGTCAAGGCATACAGCCTATTATTAATATCAAAGCAAACAATTTAGATCAATTTTATGGATATATCAAGCAATTCCAAATAGTTTAATTGGTGAAACTATGGATTATAGAAATATTTGAGAAAACAATGGAATACATTCTTTTTGTTTCCAGAAATACAGTGAAGGTTTAACAAATCAGTGTTTTCAAAGAATCTGTAAACATTTCATGATATTGTACTCCAAGTTTGAACAGTTGATACATTATTGTGCCTGCCTTATTTTGAAGTGAACTTTATGCCAAAATAGCACAACAGACGCACACTTTGTGATAGGCTTGCTAACAGAAGACATTCTTTGTCACTCTTAAAGTGTGTTCAGTATGACCTCCATTCAGTTTTGATAGATCCTGTTTAGATGTGACCAGTCTAAGTGTTTTTAATTTTTAATATACACGCAGACAGGGAGACTCAGACTGAGAAGATTTATAAATGGACTTTGTTTTGAAGTATTATCCTGGAGTCTGGTATAAAGATATGCATAGAAGTAATGAAGGATGAAAATAAGCGGATGAGTGTCGATCAGTTGGGTAGATAATACGTTTTTGACGAAAGTCTGACTGTTATTGTAATCTACAGTTTGCATCTCTGTTTCTAAAAGTATATTACATTAAACTGAGGTGGGGGGACCACTTATCTTTTAAGTTTGTCTGTTTTACTTAATGAAAGTATGGAATGAGTATTTACAGACAGAGAGCACGGACCACAGCTGTAGCTGCAGTGTATATCTTTTACTATTAATGGATAAGCTTGGTGTACAGTATTAGCGCTCACGATCCAATTTGTAGTTGTTCGAAGAATTTTTCATGTTTGTTGTAGCTAGATACAGTAATACTGACTCATTTAAATGAAAGGTTGAAAAAAAGACATAAAAACATTTTACTTTCTTTAGAGTAGAAGTTCTTCTTTGAATCAGTCAAACGTTTGAAAGCAGTTGTTTTCTTTAAATGCTGAATTAATTATTCTGTTAAAAATAGGACATTTTTCGAGGATTAAATTAAGGATAATCTGTAACATGAATGTGTTATAACCAGAGAGGAGGGTTTGAACAAGAGCATTTGAGACCTAAAGGTATAGTGGAAGATGTTGTTTTTCCAGGTGGATCTTCCAAATAATTTGTTCTCCTAATTGTCAATCATTCTGGTAATATGTTTACATAAGGCCATCCTAAGTGCTCTTCCCCATTTTCACTTACCTGTGGTGAGTCTGACATAGTGGAAAAATTGCAAATCTTCTTTTGGAAAGTAAGCTTGTATGAGTGATGCAAACAGCAACTTTTAAACAGAGCGTGCACGAGGAGAAATGGGCTCCTGCATGCCTATAATAGGTGGTCCCACTCGGGAGCGGGTACAGGGTTGTGCAAAAGCACAAAAGGACGGGTCTTTTCAAAAATCAGCCGAAGTCCTCTATTATACCTTAAAGAATTAACTTGAACAAAAAACAACAAAAATAAAAACATTTTAAATGTCTTATCAGATGGGGTCCAGATGAAAATAAATCCCAGCTTCACTGTCCCTTCACAGCGGCTAGCATTTAGCCACTCACAGTAAAGTGCTTAAAAATGGTTTTCTCCTTCTCTGTTTTCTTCTTTTTCTTCAAAAATGTCATGGGCTGAACATTTTCTAGGGGATGGAAGTTTATTTATCGGATTTCTGGCAAAGTGTTTTTAAACCAGCTGCACAAAATTCTTTATTTACCTACTGAACACAAATATTGTTAACACGACTTTACAATTATGTAAGACTTCTTGTCTTACATTAAAATGAAAGTATTATTAACCCATGCCATCTTAATAACAGTTTTCTGATTTAATTTGTCTGAAATATAAATAAAGTTTTCTATTTTAAAAAATCAACTGGAGAACTACATGTGTTTTGGTAACGAAATTTTAAAAAAAGCATTTTTCTGTTGAATAGAAGAATGCCTTTGCTGCTGTCTGTAGGTCTTCTTGGCACATTAGGGATTTTGACCTTAAGTTGTTTTATGACTGCATCTACTGTACTCAGGTCAGAGGTGCCTCCCCACATGCCATGTATGAGGATCAGCAAGTCCTCCCTTGACCGATATTTCACAGTATCTCTGTGGTTCGGGCTTATGTGCCTCTGTATGCACATGCACTTGTGTGCCACTGCAGATGTTCCACCTCTCAGAGAGATTAGGTTTCACGAGATGTGATGGATGCCAGTGTCTGCAGAGCCAGCTGTGAGTGAAAGCATGTCTGTTTGTCAGTGCAAACACACAGAACCGGGACTGGGATCCATGTATGTCTGAAACAGTCCAAATCATTGCTCGGAGGGCTGGGTCAGGTGGTGAATCGGAAAGAGGTGGCATTAAGGTCAGGGATGTTTTGAGTTGGATGGGTAATTATAGCAACAGAGCCTTTGGTTCCCACAAAGCAGCTCAGCTCAAACCAGGCAGGCTGGAGCATTCCAACAGGGCCAGGCTGCTGCTGGCAGGTCAGCACATCTTGCCAATAACAAGAAACCCCTCCAAGAAAGGTAACAGACCTTAGTTTTTGCCCGATTGGGTATGTGAGCAGAGATAAATTGTTGGGCATATTCCCATGAGTCAAAAAGTAGATAAAGAGCCTTTTTTTGCAAGGAAGCTTCGTAGGGAAAATGGGCAACTACAGTAAGGGTAAAAGGCTCATGCCTCGACTGCAGTCCGCCCGCTCCCAGCTGTGTCGCCGCAAGCAGAGATGATGGAAGGGTGCAGAGAGCAGTGAAGGAAAAGGAAGAAAAGCTAAGACAGAGAAATGCTATTGATTCCTCTGGCAGTTGGAGGGGACTGCCTCCATCTTCATCTTCCTCCTGCTGATTCCCAGAGACTTGGCATCCCTTGTCTTTTTCTGCTTCTGATGTCTAGATTGCTCCCTGATCTCCCTTTCAATGTACTTCTTGACCATCCCAGCCTAAACAAACATTTATTTATCGATTTATTTCTCATTTGCTTGCTCCCTACGTAATCTATCAGGTTATATTACTCCTCTCTTTGAGCCTATTTCTGCTTTTGTTTTTTTTCCTCACCTCTCAATAGATTTTTTTTTCTTTTTTCATACATTTACCTTTAACACAAGCCCCTCTTCATCTATGGAAATGACCACATACAGCAGAAAGATATTAGAATTTGATATTCGGACTTTACTCATTTAGTGTCCTCAACTCTGCCAGGTTTGTTTTCTCTGGTTGTGTCCTCTCTTTTTTTTTCCCTTCCTTTTTGGTTTTACTCTGGCTTTCTTTTCCCCTAAACAAAATAGTTTTGTTGTATCTTTTTTAAACAAGCCATCTATTGAGAAAACACAGTTTAGAAGGGAGAGGTAAATATATATTGTGTTGCTAAGGGAGCTTTAAAGAGTTTCTGATTCTTATTCCAGATTCAAACTGCCGTCAAATTTCCATCAGGCATGAGCCAGTTACCCGTAACAAGCAATGCCAACGCTTTAAAAAAGATACTCTTAAAACCACTAAAAGATTCCATCACATAGTCTACAGTGTATTCCTTTTAAGGAGATGCTAAACAAAGCAATGGAGTAAATCTATCCTTTTTCCATCATGCTTATTCAGGCAGGGGTCGTGAGGGGTGCTGGTGCCTAATGCAGGGCAACATAGAGACAAACAGAAC